GTCATCACCATCACCATCACCAACACCATCAAGAAGAACAATAAGGAACCCTTAAAAAGGAATACTTGGTGAGGAGTCCTTTGTAAGGAAGCCTCACTAAGGAATCCTTAGTAAGGAATCCGCAGTAAGGAACAATAGGTAAGGAATCCTCAAGAGGGAACTCTTGGTGAGGAATCCATAATACGGAACCCCCATTAAGGAATACAGAATATCGAATCCGCAAGAAGCCCCGAAGATCCCTAGGAATTCATGGAACTTCACTTGAATCCTCTTGAACTCCTGGGAATCCCCAGGTTCCCCAGAGAATCCCAAGGGATCATCAGGAATCACTCGGAATCCCCAGGAATCAATAAGAATCCGTAGGAATCCTCAACAATCCTCGGGAACCCGTTGGAAAGCATAGGAATCATCCAGAATTCTTCGGAACCCCTAGGAATCCTTGAGAACTCTCCTTGAGAAACCATAACAATCCATAGGAATCCTCCGGAACCCATAGGAATCGTCAGGAATCCCACAGAAACCCCAGCGATCGCTGGAAACTCATAGGATTCACCAGGAATCTTGAGGAATTCCTCAAGAAATCCTTGGAATTCCCTCGGAATTCCTTAATGATTCCCTGGGATTCCCAAGGATTCCTGACGATTACTTCAGATCCCGATGGATTCTGAACATTCCTATGGGTTTCTGAAGGATTCCGAAGGATTCCTAAGGATCCTCAGGGATTCCTGACGCTTCTCAGGTATTCCAAAGTATTTCCATGGATTCCTACAAGATTCCTTGGGAATCCCAGGGTTTCCTATGGCCAGGCCCGCGATGCCGCGGACACGGATATGTTTTCGCCCACGGTGGCGAACCTCGACGAAGCCGACAGGGAGCTTCGCCGAGCCGCTCAACGCAGCGGCCGATCCCACGTCATAGCCAAAGGCGCTGCCCGCAACCGCTTTGGCAGTGCAGTTGGCCGAGCTTCTGCATAACAGGAGCCACCATCCGTGTGTACGGCGTGTGTCTTGCGACTACCAGGCCTCGAGGAAGAGATGTCTTCGCCCACGACGACCCTCTCTCGGCTACACGCCAGAGTGACCCTGGGTAAAGGTGACCTTTGGTGCGCGGCTTTTTGGGGGCCGCGGGGGGGGGGGCCGAACACAAGCGCGCAACACGCTACTACCGCATCGCGTTCGGCGAACGGGGGGCCCCTCGTGAGCCCGCACCAATCGGGGATGGACAGACCTCCCTTTAGTAAAACGTGGTTTAGTGAAAACGACCTGAGGCCCAAACCTGGCGGACGCAAGCCTGGAAAATAACGGCCGCGGCGCCCTCTCGAGAACCGAAAACGGCAAATTCACTAATCGACGTGTCACTGTTGGGGGTTCTGTCCACCTCCGAACCAAAGGTCACTCCGGCGAAGGGTCACTCTTACGTGCAGTCGACCTCTCCCCGGGGTCAGCTTCTCGTCCCGACCCGCCCTCCGACGGCCCCCGGGCCCAGCGGGGGCCCCATCGGAGGCCGCAGGTGGCCAGGAGCCTCCCGCCACGACCTTGGCCACGACGCGGGCACGTCTGGGTACACACACACTCTCTCTCTCTCTCTCTCACACACACACGCCCTTGTCTTGGCGACACCACCCAGAAGCCTCCCGCCGTGATCTTGTTCACGACGCGAGCACGTCTGGGTACACACACACACAGCCTCTCTCTCTCACACACTCTCACACACACACACACCCTTGTCTCGGCGACACCACCCAGAAGCCTCCCGCCATGATCTTGGTCACGGCGCGAGCATGTCTGGGTATACACACTCTCACACACACACACACACACCCTTGCCCCGGCGACTCCGAAAGGTATAGTCTGCAAAGGGTGCTGGTTGCAGCCGGCACCCAGGGGGACACCTTGGGGGGCGGGCGAGGATCTCGACAGAGCTCTCCGCAGCGCCCCGAGGAGAACCGACGAGGACAGTGTCGTGCTCCCCAGGCCCCAACGGCGTCGATCGCAAACAACACCCTGGCGTAACCAGACCCTTTGTATGAAGGGGCCAGGGAACACACATACAATTAGCCACAAATCCCAGGACTCCCCTCCACTTCCCACCTGTTCCCAAATCTTCCCTGGGAGCCGACGATTGGTTGTGCCTGTGTGTTGTTGTCCCCCCTACTTGTAGTCGCCAACTGGCAGCGAGGCTTGATCGGGAGCGGCCAAGAGGGGGGCGTCCAAGAGGAGGGGGTGCAAATCATGACAGGCGGCATGTGCGCGGCCCAGCGGGGGGGCCAGGGACGTAATGAAATAAGAAGAAGTGCCATGAAATCTGAGAAATATCATGGCCCCCGCCATGATATCCACCACCCCTAGTCATCACCCCCCTCTTTGCCGCCCCAGACTTGAGCGTCGCGGCGCAGCGGCCGCAACGCCAGGCCCTGGCTCGGCTGCCGCGGGCGCGTCGGCCGAGGCGGCGCAGCTGAGAGGCCCGCTCTTCTTCCAGGCCCCGGGCGTCGCTCCGCTGCCTGGCGCCACGAGCCCGCCGCCGCTCCGGCGCCACCTCCTCCTGGTCCTCATCCTCCTCCTCCTCCTCCTCCTCCTCCTCCGCCGCCGCCGCCGCCGCCGCCGCCTCCGCCTCCGCCTCCTCCTCCTCCACCTCCTCCTCCTCCTCCTCCGCCTCCGCCTCCGCCTCCGCCTCCGCCTCCGCCTCCGCCGCCTCCCCAGCTTGTCATGATCACGCCTTTCCACGTGTTCGTTGCTTCCACCTCACACGTGCACAGGCCCATCGATGACTACGTAGACGACGTCACGGTCCGGGTGGTCGAGCACATCAGCACCATTGTCACCACAGCGACAGCGTTGCTCAACAGGCTCGCGGTGGTCCTTCTGGCCCTCCAGCCCCCCGTCGCCAAGGACAAGGCGGCGAAGGTGCTGAGCTCGGACATTGAGGTGACCATGCAGGTGGCCGTACTAGGGACACATCTCGCACAAGGATCTTTTAAGGGGGGCCTTAGCCACTGGGTTTCCTGTCAGGCTCCTCAGGTGTCTTTGCGCTGGGTACAGGTTACCCCGTAGGGCTAGGTGGAACATGACCATTTCTGATCAAGTTAGGACCAACGGTACGGTGTCACCGGGCTGCAGCTGCACCCTAGCTTTGGCAAAGCTCCTTGTGCATACTGTCATAATGGTTTTGCAACATAGGTGTCCTGCTGTCCAGTGATAGAACCTAGTAGACGACTTTCTCCTTCAAAGTCATCGGAGGCACGGCGGCAGAGCCCAGGGGCTAGAGCAGTTTCCGCGGGCCATGTCTGACTTAGTATCGTCGTTGCAGCACAGGCAGTTAGCTGCGAATTGGGATAAAACTAGTTACATGACCAGTTCGGCGGACTTGGATGAGGATCTCAATCAGCATTGGGACCTCAGTGGGTAGCAGAGGCTTCGCAGCTGCAGATGCCTGGGCACAGACGCCAACAGTGGAGCATCCGAGGAGTGCCCAGGAGCAGAATAAGCGCATGAAAAAAGCAGCGGCAGTTTCAAGTCGTCTTTTCACCCTGAGTAAAGCAGGTGCGAGCGTCAGCAGTACTATGAGGGGGACTCCGACGGCGACGGCGGCGTGGGGAGAGGCGGTCATAGGCATTGCTGAGATGAAGCTCACTGCTCTCAGGCTAGCCACTTTGAGAGGAGAGTCCCAGCAGGCAACTCGGTAGCCCTTCGTCTTCGTGTCGCCCCAAGGGGAGCCACCAGAGACCCTGGGGTTGCTAGTGTTTGTGATGGGATCAAGCACTGGACGTTGAGTGTACAGTCGGTCATCCCTGGTCTTGGACCCCTGCAGGCCTGCCTGTAGGAAGAACAAAGTCTCTTGCAGAAAGAAAGGCCTTGGGCGCAGGTGGTAGATCCTTCGCAAGCGGCGGTCTTGTCGCTGTGCCCTCTGCAGATGTTTTCAGGCACCCCATGCTCGGGGACTTCAGAATCGGCGACTTCTCCCCAGCCTTTTCGTGGACTTGGCCAGGCCATTGGCCATGCAGGCGTCGGACAGTAATGCCCACACTCGTCTTCAGGCCGCCTGGGTCTCGCCTCTCAAGTGCGCCGCCTGTGACGGTAAGTAGTTCTCAGACAGTTCGTCTGAGTAACAAGACGCGGCGGTCAGGAGCTTGGTGAGAGGCTCTCATTGACCTCAGGCTCGCTTGCATGCACATGCCAAGGCGCGCACGGAAGTGTGCACGCATTGTGGCACACGCGGCACGCTCTGGCACCGGCTCTATGACTGCCCCAGGTGTGCGCAGCTCAGAAGGGAGGAGTGTCCCCAGCACGTGCTTCGGGCTGCTAGGTATGTTCGGCAGTTAGGAGAGGAGGCAGGAGAAATGATGGCCAGATGTCTCTTTCCCTTCCCTTCTTTTTGCTTCCCCTGCGCGGAGGTCCCTAAGGAGCATCAGCTTCGGTTTGTTAGTGTGTTCCCTGCTTGGAGGTTCTCTGACTGTGTCTTCGTTGACGGTCAGGGATTTCACGCACACCTCCAAGGGTTCCAACGCGAAGGGTGGTCGGCGGTTCAGAAAGACCGTGCTGGCAACCTCATCGGCGCCATTTATGGCGCAGTTCCACTTCGCGCTGCCCTAAGACAGGCGGCTCGGGACGCAGAGGACTGGGCTTTCAGAATGCTTGCTTTCTTCAGTAAATGGTCGGATGATCGTCCTTCAATAATGTACACGGATTGTTCCGGCAGCCTCAACTGTGCTAGAGACTCTAGTGGTGCCATTGGGATAGGCAACCCGAGGAGGCACAAGTGGCAAGATTGATGGTAAGGCATAGGCAACGAGGCTTGCGTCTACAAAGTTGATGCTCACAGGAGTTTAGCTTCCGCCACCTCTGAACATGACGAATGGCTAATTAAAGGCAATGTGATTGCCGACAAGTGGGCCACAAGAGAAGCCAGGTTTGGGAATCTTGGATCACCTCGACTTTGCTTCGGGCTGCGAGCGCATCGTCACCGACACTGTCATGTGGCACAGGAGGTGTCAGGAAGTCTTCGGAGAACTGGAGCCACCTGATTCGCAGGAGCTTGCTGGTACTGCAGGTCCGTGCCGTGTCGACCTTGGCGCTGGTTCCTGACACCGCGCTGGATCGTTCAACCTTGAACCATCGGCCGTCACCGCAACGTCCGATCGTTCAACATCGACCGATTCTGGGTCGCCCGCGGCGTTCAGAGCTGAACGCCGCGGGCGGGGTCGCCGCCGGTCGACACGACGCGAACCTACCGTACGGAGGAGGCCGTTTTGGACGTGGACATCCCCCAGGGCCTAATTAATTCGAGCCTGTCTGGAGGAAGGGGTGGCGCCTCTCGGGGAAATGGTCCTTGGCCGAGAGGGGGCCGAGACTGGTCCCCCCGGCTCCGGCCTCGATCCCCAATGCCGTCTGGTGGTGTAGATGATTCCCTCCCCCCTCCCCCTCCCTCTCCCTCCCCCCCTCCCTCCCTCCCCCCCCCCTCCCCCCTCCCCCCCTCCCTCCCTCCCTCCCTCCCTCCCTCCCTCCACGGGTGTCCCCTGGGAAATCCGAGGGCACTCCCTTGTGCAAGCCACTGTGTCGGACCCAGGCCAGGACCTACCCGACCTTCCATCATGTAAAGCGTGTGGGGCCTCGGTGCACACGTCTGCGAGAGGCCTCCAAGGAGTGTGCAACGGTGCGAAACGCCAAGGGTTCAAAACCCAGCGCTCCAAGTTGCGCAGAGGTTTGTTCCTTGGGCACACGCATGCCAAAGCTAAAATTAGTATGGCCTTCAGACCATCCCTCGCCCTCCGTGCTGCTTGGGGGCCCTCGCTTGAGCCTGGGCCGTCGGCTGCCGCGGCTGACTCTCTCGACCCCAGCAGTGGATCCGCGAGGGAGCAGGTTTCGACTGAGGCGAGTAAAGGTGGGCTCACGCTGGCTGCGCCTCCTGGGGCTGGAAGCCACTGCTGTGGCAAAGTTGCATGGTCTTGCCTCCCCTGATGACCTTGTGAGGTGGGAAAGTGCCTGCAAGTCGACTCACGCCAGGCTTGCGAGCTCGGTGAAAACGACTGAGCTGTGTTCTGCGCCAGGTTGCGAGGGGGACCCTGTTGTGCCCGCAATGCCAACACCCTCAGCAGCGTCCTCTCCTCCTCCTCCTCCTCCTCCTCCTCCTCCTCCTCCTCCTCCTCCTCCTCCTCCTTCTCCTCCTCGTCTCCCTCCTGCTCCTCTTCCTCCACCTCCTCCTCCGCCTCCTCCTCCTCCTCTCCTTCCTTCCTTCCTCCTCCTCCTCCTCCTCCTCTCCTCCTCCTCCTCATCATCTCATCCTCATCATCCTCATCATCCTCATCATCATCATCATCATCATCAATCATCATCATCATCATCATCATCATCATCATCATCATCATCATCAGCAGCAGCAGCATCATCGTCATCATCATCATCATCAGCATCATCATCATCATCATCATCATCATCATCGTCATCATCATCATCATCATCATCATCATCATCATCATCATCATCATCATCATCATCATCATCATCATCATTATTATCATCATCATCATCATCATAATCATCATCATCATCATCATCATCATCATCATCATCATCATCATCATCATCATATTCATCATCCTCATCATCATCACCATCATCATCATCATCATCATCATCATCATCATCATCATCATCATCATATTCATATTCATATTCATCATCATCATCATCATCATCATTATCATCACCACAATCAGCATCATCATCATCCTCATCATCAGCAGCAGCATCATGAGCATCAGCATCAGCATCATCATCATCATCATCGTCATCACCATCACCATCAGCATCATCAGCAGCAGCAACATCATCAGCAACAGCATCATCAGCATCATCATCATAATCAGCATCATCATCGTCATCATCATCAGCATCATCATCATCCTCCTCATCATCATCATAGTCATCATCTTCGTCATCGTCATCGTCATCGTCATTATCGTCGTCATCGCCATCATCATCACCATCATCATCATCAGCATCAGAATCATCATCATCATCACCACCACCACCATCAACATCATTATCAGCAGCATCATCAGCATATTCTTCATCATCATCATAATCACCAGCATCATCATCAGCATCATCATCAGTTGCAGCAGCATCATCATCGTCAGCATCAGCATCATCATCAGCATCAGGATCAGAATCATCATCAGCATCATCATTGTCATCATCATCATCATCATCATCATCATCATCATCATCACCAGCATGACCATCATCATCTTCGTCGTCATCATCAGCAGCATCATCAGCATCATCATAATCAGCATCATCGTCATCATCATAATCAGCATCACCATCACCATCATCATCATCATCATCATCATCATCATCCTCATCATCCGCCTCACCATTCTCCCCAGCAGCATCATAACCCTGATCCTCCTCATCCTCGTCATTGTCATTATCATCATCATCATCATCATCATCAACAGCATCATCATCATCATTATCTCATCAACATCAGCAGCAGCAT